ATAAGGAGAGTAGCAATACCAGTGGGGGAAGGGGAAGGTGGGGTAGAAAGGGGAAACTGATCACAATGATCTACATATAACCCCCTCCCTGGGGGACTGACAACAGAAAAGTAGGTGAATGGAGACATCGGACAGGGTAAGACAAGAAGAAATAAGAATTTATAAATTATCAAGGGTTTGTTAGGGAGGGAGGGTGAGGGAGGGAGGGAAAAAATGAGAAGCTGATACCAAGGGCTCAAGAAAGAAAGAAAATGTTTTGAGCATGATGATGGCAACAGATGTACAAATGTGCTTGACATAATGGATGGGTGGATGGTGATAAGAGTGGTACAAGGCCCCAATAAAATGATTTTAAGAAAATCTTAATCGTGTGAAAATGAGAAAAAAAAAGTTATATAATCATTAGGAAGTATTGCCCTATGGATAACTATTAGAAAGCACTTTCTTTGGAAAATATTCCCTACTGCAAGGCTACTCCTCCTCCAAACAAGAATAGGACAGTATATCAAACAATTCTACAAAGAGAATACGTTATAGGCTACCGTTTATCTTTGAGGCTCTTGCAGAATTGTAGTCTACCCTTCCTGTGATGTGTGTGGTTACCTGCAATCAAGGAGGTTTGCACGTCCCTAAGCACATCTGTGCCTTGGTCAGAAATAAAGACATGGGCTCTCTTCTCCCTCCTCCTCTTGCTCTCTGCGTGGACCTGGCTGCTGAGATTATGGCCATCCTGGAGCTTGTTGAAGCAGGTTTGGCATTAGCACTCTTTGGAGGAAGCCAGAAATATTCAGATGACAAAAACAGAGTTCCAGTTTGAGAAGACTCACACATCCTTGTTATTGGAAATCCAGGCTTGGGAAAGAGTCAGATGCTACAAGCAGCATGCAATATTGCCCCACGTGGCATATTTGTGTGTGGTCATACCACTGCCACCTCCAGTCTGACGGTCACTCTTTCAAAAGATAGTTCCTCTGGAGATTTTACGTTGGCGGCTGGTGCCCTGGTACTTGGTGATCAAGGCCTTTAGAGTCTGAGACTAATTGTTTTCCCTTAGCGAATGAATATTATTGAAAGTATTGCTTTGGGCTTGAAGGGAAACAAGCAGCCACCCAGCAGAGAAGCAACAAGCCCACATGAAAGCAGCACACCAGCCTGTGCCATCATGAGGTGTTGAAAGGGTTCGGTAACAGGCACCAGAATGAGGGGGGTCAGAGCAGAGCCCCAAAACCCATCTGTTGACAATAGGACATCCACTCACAGAAGGGTCACAAGGAATGATGAGTCAACCAGTGAAGCACACAATCTTCCTCTGGTTCTTTGAGGCTTCCTCACCCCCCACCATCATGACCCCGTCGTCCCTTTCAGTTCGGGCTGATACCAAGAGCTCAAATAGAAAGTAAATGTTTAGAAAATAATGGCAACATATGTACAGATATGCTTAATAAAACTGATGTATGGAATGTTATAAGAGCTGTAAGAGCCCCCAATAAAATGATTTTTTTTAAAAAAGTATTGCTTTGGGGCCTAACCACCATTGTTTTTTGAAGTAGCTTTGTTCTATTGCCCAAGTTTCATTCATTTTATAGGTAAACCTTCCCATGTTTTAACAAAAACCTTTCACATTCTTCTCATTAATATTTTCATATATCTTTAGACTGAGTAAATGATAATCATTATAATAGTT